GTAGCTAAAATTAGTTTTAACTAATGTTAAAAGTTAAAACTAGTTTTATCTAAAATCAAATCATGTACAGCAGTAAATTAATTAGACAAAACCAGTTTTGTCTAATTAATTTACTGCTAGTCAAAATAGTAAAACTAGAATTTACTGCTAGTCAAAAATGAATTTGAGTTAAAACTAGTTTTAACTAGACAAAACGGGTTTTAACAAAGACATTCAGTATAAACTAGTTTCAACTAGTTAAAACGCGTTCTAACTAAAATCGGGTTTTGACTGTAACATATATATATATATAAATGGACGTGTTTGTGCTTATACGTCACTCTGCAGCCAAAACTACACATCGCACATGAATGGTGTTTGTGTGTGGAGTAGTGGACAAATGTATGTTCTGCCCCAAAAATTTAAGATTTTTAAAATTAAATAAATTTAATCAAAATCAATAGTAAAAATCATAAAATCAATAGTAAAAATTAACTAAATTTAAAAACTGTTGAAAATCTCATTGATTTTTTTACAAAATTCACTAAATTTAATCACACCGATGAAATCTAGTGATTTCCAGTTTAAGAAAAGCAAATATAAAAAAAGTTAATAATATAAGCTTTATACTTATTTCCACAATCTCGTTGATGTATTTAAAGAAAAGCAAATATAAAGAAAGTTAAACAAACTCAATAATATGAGCTTTATACATTTTCCCACAATTTTTCATACCTCTGTAAACAAATTTAAAATTACTCATCATGTCTAAATCTTCATCCCTTAATTTTTTATTAAATCGATCAGGTAGAAAAACTTGAAATTCTTCACCCCCAAGAACTACTATTTTTTTATATCGCCAAAACGAGTCCATATTGTTTTAATATAATCAATAGGATATTCATAATCAATTTCCAACTCGTTTAATTTCTTTATTGGAATATTTTGAAGTTTACCAATATTGTTTAGTTTCTTCTTTGTTTCCATTTATATTGGAAAAAATTTATTCAATATAGGAAACTGTGTATCAATATACATAAATTTACCTTATGATGTACATAAAAATCTACCATTAGGAGTATCAACATAATCAAAGATATGTAAATACCCTCTTTCATTTTCCAAATATAATAAAACCTTTCTCTCCCACCGTATTGAATTAATACCAATTCTAGATTACTAATATCAATCTCCATTTATATAGGATTATTTATTACAAATTCTTGCCAACAAAGAAATAACTATATTTTTATAATTATTTTCAACATATTTGTCGGAGAACTTTTTATTCAAAATAACATCACACCAATTAATTTTATTTTTATGTTTTATAATAAAATCTTCGGATAATTCTTGATATTTAACAACTATTTTCCCGTCTAATACTTTTAAACGATGTAAGTCTTCGAGTAATTGTTCCGATATGGTTTGATATCTTAAAATTAATTTGAAATTTAATTTTAGAGCATATTTCCTAATGATCTCATTATCTAATATTTGATATTGAGATATAGCATCCCAATCCACTTTATTTTTATACTCTTCAATAAATTCAGAAGATAATCTTTGATGTGTAGAGATGAGTTTCCAATCAACCTTTTCATTATATTGTTTTATAAAATTTTCTGAGAGGGTTTGATGTTCTGATATTTTTTTCCAGTTTACTCTATCTTTAAATTCAATAATAAAAATTTCAGACAATTTTTGATTAAAAGATATTAAATCCCAATTAACTCTATCTATAAATTTTCTTATAAAATGTTCTGATAATTTTTGATATACAGTATAGAAATCAAATCCCAGTTAACTTCATCTTTAAATTCTCTTATTAAATCTTCTGATAAATTCTCTCGTTTTGAAAAATTATTCCAATTGATAGCCCTCTTTATTCTAGAGTCCGTTTATATAAGAAAAGAAATAATCACTTTTTATTTTATAATGACCTAATGCTAATGTGTTAATTCCATCCTCTAATATATATCTCTTATCATCATGTGGTGATAAAACCTTCTTGTTAACTTCTATTGAATGAGGTTCATGTTTCTTGCTTCTAATTAGATTCATTGTTCTAGAATGTTCTGTTTTATTAAATAAACAGTTTTTATGATCATCAAATGATATCTTATTTTTAACAACACATTTCTTTACTCCTTTTGAATTCTTTGTAACCTGATCTTCTACTTTTAAGGCATACATTTTTGCTCTTAAACCAACAAATTCTCTCATTATTTTTCCATTATTTTCATCTTTCATTTTACCTAACACCTTCTTATTAACTCTCGGTATACCATATTGATTATTCTCNTTACTCCTTTTGAATTCTTTGTAACCTGATCTTCTACTTTTAAGGCATACATTTTTGCTCTTAAACCAACAAATTCTCTCATTATTTTTCCATTATTTTCATCTTTCATTTTACCTAACACCTTCTTATTAACTCTCGGTATACCAAATTGATTATTCTCAGGATAATCAGATTTCATCACATTATAATGAAAATCATACATCAAATGCTTCGAAAGATCTAATATACTCATTCCCACATAGATGGGTTTATTAAAGACTATTTTTGTCTTATACATGTGAATAGCACATAGGCTTTCGGTAAATATGGTTCGACGTTTAAAGTTAGGCTTTGCGATTAATTTTTCTACTTTTTTTGGGTCACAACATAATCTTATGTCAACACGATTTCTTATATTTTCCATTGTCTTTCCAAACACATAGTTATTCATTAGTTTTAAAAAGTCCTTTTCGAAATCATAAGTTGCTTTAGTTCTCATTTCTGTATTCAGATCTATGTATTTCTTTAACCAATCTGATTGCTTGAATTCTAATACTCTATGTATCTTTTTAAGTTTCATCCCCATTTTAAAATATTGTTTAAGATTTCTATAATGAAGCACATATTTCTCTTTTTCATATAAAGTGGTTAATAATTTAGATTGTTTTGATCCATCTGGTATTCTGTTCTCTGGAGCTAAAGGGAGATCAGAATGATAATCATGTAATTCTTTTGGATATTCCAGATCAACTTCTAATATATATCCTTTTACATTGTTATCAGGAGTATTCAAGAAGAAATCAATATTATTTTCCTCACGCCATCCAAATCCCCCATATGGTAAATATTGACTCATGGCCCATCCATACAAGTTATTAGCATCTAGATACACCAAATAATTAGATTCCTTGTTTTCATCATAATCTTCCATATACTTGTTATTCGCCTTTCCATACCTCTTAAAACATTGGGAGATTCCACCTCTTATCCCTTTTTCTATCATTAAAATCATATCATAATTATCTATCAACTGTAATTTTAAACCTGTCATCTTCAACATTGCTTCCCATGATAATCTAGGTGCTGTATAATACCATGCTGGGTCTAATTTATAAGTTTTCAAGCATACATCTCTAAAATTCTCAAAGATATCTGCTAGTATTAAAACATCTGTTTTCACATATAGATCTGAATATTTCCCCATATTCTTAATCTTAAATGCTTCCCATACGTTTTGTGCATGTTCATAATCTTTATCTGTTATACCACATTCATTTAATATACTATAGAATTCTTGTTTAGGAGGAAGTTTATCCATTTCACATTTCTCCCACGAATCCATATAGTCATAAGGATAAACACCTTTTCTTATAACTAAATCTAATAAATGATTAGGGAAAAACTTAGATGTTTCTCTAAACTGTTCTTTTTTCAAATTACTGGAGAGTCTATCAATACTACTAGCCATAAATCTAAATGAATCTATAAGCCTAAGTTTCATTTTTCCAATTTTCTTAGTAAATGACATATATCTCTCCATATCTTTTATACTTGCTTGTACAGGAGTCATTTTTATTGATCTATGATAAGAGTTATTATAATTTTTAATTAATTTATCTAAAACGTCTATCCATTTTTTAGTGTTGTTAGCAGTAAAATATTTCCACATTTTCGTCTTTAGAGTTCTATTAAATCTTTCGACTACTGAGCATTTTATTTCTATATTTTCTGTAGTAAACCAATGAATATTNTTTTTAATTAATTTATCTAAAACGTCTATCCATTTTTTAGTGTTGTTAGCAGTAAAATATTTCCACATTTTCGTCTTTAGAGTTCTATTAAATCTTTCGACTACTGAGCATTTTATTTCTATATTTTCTGTAGTAAACCAATGAATATTAACAACTGTTGTGTCACTTTATTAATAAATTCACTCCCCTTATCTGTTTGTAGCTTTTGTGGCGATCTTTCCTTAAATATTTTAGCAAATGCTTTAGATATTTCTTCACCCGTTTTCTTTTTAATTGGAATAGCCCAAGCGTATTTACTAAATATATCAATAACAGTTAATATATAATTAGTATTGTCATTATATTTTTTAAATTTCTGCATATCCACTAAATCTGCTTGCCATTGATCATCAATGTGAGAAACGTAAGTTCTTCTTCTACTAAATTTTCTAATAATTGGTTTATGTTTAGTATATTCATCCTGTTGATGTAAAAATTCTTTAATAACTTTACTTGGTAAACCAGCCTTTCTTTGTAATTCATTGATACCACAGTAACTAGTTTCTGGATTATAATAAACGTCCTTGATTAAACTCATAAAAAAACAGCTTTTTTAGTACCACAAACGGCACACGTTCCTTTTGCTATAGGTTTATTATTTTTTGTTCTTGTTTCTATAATATTATTTGTTTTTCTTTTCCTTTTACACTTTAAACAATAGATACTATTTATATTGGGAGAAATTCCAAAATCGAATCTCTTCTTTGCACTAATGATTGATTTTATAACAGCTCTTGCTTGTTTTTCTCCGAGTGGATAAAAGGCACTCGATGGGTTATCAATAAGATCTAATTCATTTAACATTTCTTGATCTGCTATATGTCTATCAGCTGCATTTTTTGATTTACTATAAGCAATATCATGTTTTTTACAAACTTTATCTACTCTATTTATTATAGGATCATCTCTTTCTAATCTTTTTTGTAATTTTGTAAAGGGACCACAATATTGGTATCCAGGTATATGCATTTCAGGTGGATTCACTTTATCTTGTAACCACCCTACAATATCACCACCTCTATTATTCATTTATTTATTCAAAAATTTATATCCATTCAATTGTGCTTTCTTTATATATTTCTCTAACGGAAAATATTTCATATTTTTAATTAATAAACTGTTCTTCTCTCAAATACATGTCAGATTCTAATATGCTCCCAGCTTTGAATAGATTTAATAGCTGTTTATAAAATTTAAATGCTTGCTTGTATTCCTACTTTGTTTCCGATAGTTTTAACGACTTATCTATAACTTCGATTATTCCGGCTCCTAAGCTTAATACTGCTAACGGAACTATAAGAAACGCAGATAGACCTGAAGCACTAAATATAAATTTTCCAACTGTTAATGATACACTAATTATATGATAATCATTATAACTCTGTAAACATATATTTTCTTTTCTAAGTATTCTTCCATTTATAAAGGAAAAAATTACGTCGATACTTTATCTTTGGGTGTTTAAGATCTCGCATAAAGAAATCGCATGGTTTTTGAGTAGCTTTACTATATAAATCTTTACAAAATGATCCATCTATTTCTCTGATTATCTGTTTAATTTCTCTATCTTGAATCTCGAAGAAAATAATATAATTACAGTTTCTTCTTATATTAATTGGTGTTGAATAATAGGATTGAGATACATAAATAATTGAAGCATTTTTCTTCCTTTCTCTGATAAAGAAATCTACAATTTTAGATTGATATTTTTCAGTAATACAATCATCAATAATAATCAGATTTTTTATCAATGGATCTAAACTATGGATATCAATCATATCCTCTATGCTCGAACAAAATAACGATTCCTTTTTAAATTTTTTAAATAACTGTAATAACTTTTTATTTCTTACGCTTAATATATCTTCTTCTTCCAACTCATCAAATTGAGTATAGTTTTCTTGAAGTTTTTCATATTTTGGTTCATTAATATCTTTGGCACATACATATAAAGCATCAAAATTCAGTTGATCATAAATTAGATTTAATAAGAGAATTGTTTTTCCACATCCTGATGGACCAACGATTAAGAGTCTGAATGGATGTTTANCAACTCATCAAATTGAGTATAGTTTTCTTGAAGTTTTTCATATTTTGGTTCATTAATATCTTTGGCACATACATATAAAGCATCAGAATTCAGTTGATCATAAATTAGATTTAATAAGAGAATTGTTTTTCCACATCCTGATGGACCAACGATTAAGAGTCTGAATGGATGTTTAGGTAATAATGGATTTTGATTAGGACCTTTATATTCATCCGGTTCTGTATAATCTTTTATCTTAATCATTTATTTGTTTAAAAATTTCAGCTTGATATTTAACTTAAGCTAAATGTTATTTAACTTGAGCTAATTTTTTAGCTTAGTATATGGAGGAGAAGAGAATGAAAGCGTTACTTACATTAGATAAGCAGCACAGAGCAATAAGAAAGAAGAATAAAGAACAATTATTAGGTAAAACAAGATATGAAAAAAGTCGTTCAGAGTTTCATAAACAAGTTACAGAGAAATTAGAGGTTCCTATTCAAGATGTTAGACAAGATTTAAAAGCTATTGAAGATGCTATTCATAATATAACAATTCCTTCTACTATTGATTCATCACTTCCTCAACTTCCTGATGCAGAATCAACTTTAGTAGAATCTACACCAAAAAAGAAGTATAGATATACTGCAGAAGACCTAGATGAGGGATTAGATGTTTCGTATTTAGAGCAAAATAGTTTTATTCTACCATCACAATTAGTTAATAAACCCAATGAAATAGAAGAAATGCTCAAAGAAGCTGAAAGAAAAACGAAATCATTAGGTTTATTTAAAGCAAAAGTGAATAGAAAATTAAAGAAATCTACAGATGATTTTCAAAGAAGAGCATTAAAAGAGGAGTTAAATTTGTATCAGTCTGATTTAGAATTATTTAAACTTTATAGAAAAATATTAAGTTTTAAAGTCTGCGTCACAATCATTTAAAATTAGTGGAGAAGGATTAGTTAGTGAATTTGATAAATTAACTGATAAACTGTTAGGTGGAAATATTAAACTTTATAGAAAAATATTAAGTTTTAAAGACTGCTTCACTATCATTTAAAATTAGTGGAGAAGGATTAGTTAGTGAATTTGATAAATTAACTGATAAACTGTTAGGTGGAAATAAAAGAAGTATATAATAAAATTGTAGAAATTCTTGATCTATTATTAAATTCGGGAGAAATAACAGCTGATACGGTGAAAGAATATTATTCAAAATTTTCATCTAATTAAATGAGTAATTATATTAAGATCAGAATCTATCTCAGCGAATCTCAAAAAAATAAATTGAAATCAGCCTTTAAGAATGAGGAAGAAATATATTTACCAATAGATAAATCTAAACCTCCTAATCATGATATGTTTTTAACAAAAAGACAAATAAAAAATATTAATGAAGGAAACAGAATAAGAATAACACAATTAAAAAAAATAGATGCTTCTTACCATTTTTAATTCCTATTCTAACCACTTTGGCTACGGGAGCTTTATCGGGTGCTGCAGGATGGGGAGCCAAAAAAGCTTTAGATAAAGTAACCGGATTAGGATGTAATGAAAAAAACAAGTTGGCATCCTTCTTACCAAAGGCCCTTTAGGTCCAATATGGCCAAATTTCAAATTAAGGGAGAAAGGAGTGATTCAGAATTGGGAATATCCAATGAGACGATAAATGATAATAAAAAAAAATGAAAAAGGTTTTAGAGGTGTGGTTACGATTGATCTATTACCGAAAACATATAGAAAATTTGAAAACGGTATAATTAATTTAGATATTTCAACTTGAGATGGTACACACTGGGTTTGTTATTATAATGATCCTAAATATCCCTTCGTTGAATTTTTCGATCCTTTTGGAGAATATAAGATAAAAAATGTAAGGTTGAAAAGAGAATAATTCCAAAAGAAATCATAAAATATTTAAAACCATCTAAAAAAGAAATAAGATATAACTCTAGTTTTATTCAGAATCCTACATCTGTTAGATGTGGTTACTATTGTATGAAATACATTGTAGAATGAAATAAAGGTAAATCTCCCATTGATGTTTTATACTCATTTACGCAAGAACGGAGTGAGTTTAATGAAAATTTTGTTTTATATAAATGAAACTAATAGTCTTAGATTCGAAAAATGCTGATAAATCAGAAGCCCTTACAATCGAGTTTAAAACTCTAATACCAGTAAATAATTCGAAATTAGCTCTGAAATCAATGCCTATGTGGGTTTCTTGGCATAATATCGATGAAAAATTTAATAATAATACTTTTAGATGTTTTGATAAAACAAAGTGGAATGAAGTAACGATAGAAAATGGAAATTACACTCTTTGTGAATTAAATAACTTTTTTGTAAAATTCTTTGGAATACCTCCTATAAAGTTTGGGATTCATTTTGCAACAACGAGATTTATAATTCATTTAGAACCTGGATATAAAATTGATCTGAGTAAAGGTAAACTTCACGAGATATTTGGTTTCGAACCAAAGATATATGAAGAAGAAGAACAGAAAGGAAAATACATAGCAAATATTTCGAAAGGAATCGATGATATTCATATTCATTGCGATGTAATCAGTGGAGTAGAGTACAACGATTTAACGAGTGATATTCTTTATTCTTTTACACTGTCTCATCCACCTGGAAGTTTGATAAAAATTGAAGAGATTAATCCCATATTTGCAGACATTAATAGAAATCATTATATTTATAGAATTCGGATGTGATAACTGATCAGGATGATAATTTAATTGATCTTAATAAACAGAGAGTCGTTTTTCGTTTAATTTTAAACCAAATAAATGAATTATAATAAACATAGACTATTAGTTCGAAGTAAAAAATATTATGGTGAAAATATATTTATCGATGCAATTAAGACAGCTGGTAAGAAGTTATTAAAAATAATAGGCAGTCAAGCAAAATCTATGGTTGAGGATAAAACGATGCAGTTTGTTAAAAATAAACTAGAGAGTATTCTATCTAAAAAATCTTTGACTGT